AGTTTGGGGGTCGTGCGACGGGTTCTTCAGGACAGTTTTCGCCCGGCTTTCTAGCTGAGCTTTCTAGCTGAGGAGTCAGTTCACATAGCAAACCAGTCAGCTACATACGTACATTTTAGTACATTCTTGTCTATGACCGTATGTTGTCGTACATCGTGGTACTTTAAAAATGCATTATCAAAGCCCAATGAACCCCTGTAATGAACCCCGAGCCCTAATTAAGTCCTAAACGGTCCAAAAACTTCAGCCGACAAGCTCAGAACTCCGAACCTCGGAGCCAATGGCTAGGGACCCAAACAGGACATAAGCATAAGGATTTTACAGGGATGTCCCTACCTTATTGGGCTTCATTATAAAGTGGTTTATGTGGGATATCCCTATCCTAATTTTCGCTTATGTGCTTTGTTGGGGCCCTAAATGGCCTTCATATCGGGGTCCAGAACAGTTCGTAGCAGCCGGCGTAGTTTTAGTAGACCCCGAAACCCTACTGTAACCATTCCGGCTGCCATCGAGGTCTGTAGGGCTTTTGCAAGATTTACTTTCCTTTGATGTGGGGCTGTCTATAATTCCCCTAAACCCTAAACCCTAAACCGATTCCGCTTTTGCAAGGTTTGCCTTCCTTTGATGTGGGGCTGTTGATAATTCAATCCCAGCGGCCTAAGCTTGCAGGTGAAGCCCGCAGTGCTGCGACAGCGCCAAGCTGACTGGGGTGGATCAGCTTGCCGCCGTAGATCTGAGACAGAGCGGAGCCCGAGGGCTCAAAATCGCACAAAACCCAAAGGGTCCAAGTTATAGTATAGTATATACTTTGGGGGTCCAAATACCTACAAAGTAGCTACCATATTAGTACTTGAACCCTTTGGGAAAGTAAGCATCATGTAAAACGCGGGGGCCTCAAGCCAGGTACTACTTTAAGTCTACAGAGCGAGCCCGGGGTAGCGCTGTGCTCCGAAGCAGCCCGATTTGAGCTGCATTACGGAGGAGGCGTATCCTTTCAGAAAGCAGGAGCTGGAAGGCTTGATGAGCGAAGCTCCATGTGTTTTTGCTACGAAAGGTCTTTACAGGTTCTACAGGGTCTTATAAGGGGTTTCAGGTTTTAAGCGAGCTTATGCTTGGTCCCCCTGTTACCCTACATACCGTGTCTATTGTCGGGTCTCCTTCTTACTCAATCTGAACAACAGCAAACAAGGTGCTGGGGAACCTAGCAGAGCTTTCGCACGGTGTAAGGTTTTAAGGTCCAGCATGGGGGTTGAGTCGTGGCACCAAGAAGCCCGGAGGCTTGTCCTTTCCTTCTGCATGAATGGACGAAGAGCTCAGAGAACGGAAGAATCCTGGAAAGCGGGAGCAGCTGGCTGCCATTCGCGTGGGTTCAGGATTCGAGGTCTTGGGATTTAGGGTACAGGGTTTGCCTTGGAAGCTACGAGTGGCTTTGGCGGCTCAGAAACACACTTTGTTGCACCCTCGAAAGAACTGTATAGGTCTCATAGTCCTCGTTTCCCATCTGCCAGCTGAGCTCATCCTCGTTTGCCGTTTGTCAGCGAAGCTTCGGCGCTTTTGGCCGTGAGCAGCAAGTATCAGGTCATGCGGTTTCAGCTGCGGTGCGAGGCTATGCTTTGAAAGGAAATCAACGCTGCACAGATCTGTGGCATCCTCTGCCAAGCTTTCTTTTCTCCAGGCGCAGCAGCTGGAGAAGGCGTGCCTCTCCTTCATCAAAGATCATGCAGGCCCAGTGCTCACTCTGCCCGCCTACGCTGTCCGCTGACACGGCCTCCGACGGCTCCCGACCGGAGGGCAAGCAAAAGCACCGAAACCCCCAAACTCTAGACCCGTCGACGGTGAACCCATATATCCTAAACGCCCACACAAGCCCACAGCGACTTCCGCACCGGGACTTCCCGGCTGGCAAGCTTTTGCTGCCAGCGTCGGCTGGCTCCGTCGTGACTTGGGGTGATGCTGGCTTTGGCCGCAGTGGTGACAGCAGCGATACCACAAACAATCGGTGCAGTTTTTGCTGGCGGTTTTCGGGGGTTCTCAAACAGACGCATAGTTTTAATTGCCGCGGACTAGCCTGTTGCCACCCATAGACCAACAGACCAGCCACGGTCGGGGCCCGCGACCGCGCAACCCAGAATCGGAGCGCAAACCTGGTGCTCAACTTCGCGGAAGCCGTGTAAGACTGCCGATGCTCCTGGGCCAGGAGTGGGCCCAGTCCCATATGGGGGCCTTGACTCGTAGCCTGGGTGGCCTGGACCTGAACGAGCAGGCACTAATATAGGGGCCTGAATAATTACCAACCCCATGTTGGTGGGTTCCTTATGATAAGCATGGAATAAAACGGCCCCTATATTATCGATTCGCTTTATAGCTGCTCCCGCTTTGCCTGCAGTGGCAGCAACATAGTAGATCAGGGGGTAGGTCAGCAAAGGGATGTGTATATGTCACGCAGGCCATTTTGTCGCATCCCTGTCATCACGACTCTTCAGGCTAGGATCGAGACGGCACGGCGTGCGAGGTCACCTTGGGGTCAGGGGCCCGTTATTATACTATATAACTATAATAAGGAACCCCCCAAATCCTACAATTATAATAAGTAACCCCCAAAATCCTACAGGTAATTAAGGTTTTGGGAACCTGGCTTGGCCAAGCTGCAGGCCAGTGGCGAGCTGGTTTGGATCGGATGCGGTAGTTCCGGTCAGAGCACTCTGATCTTCGAGTTGACGAAGTTTCCGGCAGCTAATACTATTACGTAAATGTGCAGTTCTCTAAATTACTTTTGGGTCCCAAACGTAGTACGGCACCCTTATAAAAGGACCCTAAAAAGGGACCCTAATTCAGAGAACTACCCAAATACATAGTCGATAGTCTTTAGGATTGGAGGTTTAAGGTGTCTTGCAAGTCTAGTATTCATGGCGATGATATATTTCAGTTGCTCCCATAATGAGTCTGGAACACCGTGATGCCGAGATCGAAATGCAAAAAAACACACGCTTGACTGCGCTAGCAAGAGTGCAATCAACAATTCATCGATGAGGTTTAGTATTTAAGTTTAGGGCTAGGGAGAAACCAAGACACGATGTGTGACATGTGCGAAATGCTAGGACACCGAGTACCATTGTAGAAATTGCCTATACCCTATAAACCCTAAACCCTAAACCCTATTCCAGGGTCTACGATCTAGGGTACTAGTAGGCCAAACCCTGGAGCACAACATTTTAGGGTTTAGGGTTTAGGGTTTAGGGTTTCTTGCAAGCCTGCAGCAAAAGGGTTTAGGGTTTAGGGTTTAGGGTTTAGGGTTATGGTGTTGAAGCACGGAGTGCCTGAGCCGTTTTATTGTTTAGACGTTACACTCGCGGCAGCGAGCCAGCGAGACTGAGTACGAGTCAAAGACCCCAGAGGGGTAGGGGGCTGCGGGGACTGCCATGCTTTCTTATTTTGCTTTCGTCCCGTTGCTATGCTATCCGCATACAGGCCTCATTGCAAGTTTCAAGTGCCGTCGCGCCGCCTCCTGACGCCTCTCGGGGTACTTATGATAACGGAAGAAGGAACGTGGAGAGACAAGGTTCGTGTAGGACTAGGCGGCAGGACAGTTGTCGGCAACATGGGCTTCGAGTGGGATCCCAGGCGCATACAGGAGCCTTACAAAAAACAGAATAAGTCTTTGGTGAGAACCACATACCACATTATAACCACAGTGTGATTGTGCAGGGACAACGAGGTGATATTAATGCAGAGTATTTCGACCTCTACACAGTGGTTCAGGGCTGAGCGTTCATGGCATTGTCTTTGAGGGCATCCAATTACCTGTAGTCTCCATTGTAGTTCCTTTTCGGGGATACCTTATAAAATCCTTAACATATAAAGGGTTAAACCAAAAAAAGGAACTACAATGCAGACTATAGGTACCGAGCCCACGAGACACCGACAACCTCCTATGCAGGCGGGTCCAAGTCCCCAGGGTCGCGACGGCGTGCCAACAAAAACCAGCGTGCGCAGGAACAAGCCAGTACCCATAGGCCCCATAGTAGTTCCTTTCGGGGGTCCTATAAGGTAATCCCAAAAAGGAACTACCATGGGGCCTATGGGTATTGTGCGTGCTGAAGGTCTTGTCCAGTCTTTCGGGTTTTGAATTGGGGCGTTTAGGTTTGAGGGGTTGAGCATTAGGTTCGGCGGTGTAGGTAGAATTTGCTGCAGATGCTACAGTCGATCAAAAGGGTTGATTTTGGCTCTAGATACTCACACTGGTAGCCTTCAGATGTCTGAATGGTGTTGTATTGCTAGTTCGTGTACTATCATAGCCCAAGCTTTGCTGAAGTTGTCGCAGCCGCTATAGGTCCTCGCTGTAGATCTGCCAGTGGTCCAGGAATCAGGCAGCCGAGGGGCCTTAGGGTTTCTTTAAAGGGTACTATAGGGATCCTAGCGTTCCTTTAAAGGGTACTATAGGGTTTAGGGCTTTAGGGTTTCAGGGTTTAGGCTTTACCCATGGGCCCCATAGTAGTTCCTTTTTGGGATTACCTTATAGGATTCTAAATATGAATCCCCCAAAAATGAGCTACTGTGGGGCCTATGGATAGGCAGTTCGCCTGACAAGATCCTCTAGGTAGCAGGATGCTTCATGTGGACTCCGCTCCCCACCCCCACGACAGTTTGGAAAATTCTCGTGATCAAACCACTCTAATATCTGTGCCCAGTTAATTTGTCTTGAGGTCTGGAAAGTTCAATTTATAATCATCATTATAGCTCCCTGCTACACTAGACCCCAACGCAGTCAGCCGCATTTTTCAATCCGCCCCGTGTGCCCACGGTCTCACCATCATAACGCAAGGCAGGGGACTATGGCAATCAAAATAGACCCCAAGCCCTATTCTATCTAGCCGGGCCCCCACCTTACGCACAACATGTCACCTGGAAATCCTTCCTGCCCCCAGACATGGGGATCTAAGACCCTCAACAAAAGCCATTTAGCACCACTTGTTAGTACCGGCATGCAGCCAAGGCATTGCATGCCTACTTTGCTGGCGGGGAAGCTGAAAAGCTCCGGCACTGCCTTTATGTTCGGTGTCGCCGGGGCCTCGGACGAAAATCCCCTGAAGCCGAAGCCGTTCAGGACTCAAGCGGCTCGGAAAAGGCCAGAAAAAGGATAAGAACAAGCACACTCAGGATAAGGTTTGCGGGAAGAGACTTCGGGGTTCAGGGCTCAGGGCTCGATCGTATAGAGTTGAAAGTTGAAGGGAGAGTTCATGCATTTAGGGTTTAGAGGGTTTAGACTTTGAAGCGCAGGATCTGCGGCCGGAGGCTTTGGGGCTTGAAGCTTAAGGCTTAAAAGGTGTGGGCTGTAACACAGAGGCCCAGATAAGTAACCATATCCCCTTGTAGTCCTTGCTTTAGCTGCAGCAAAAGTAACCACCCCTCAAAAAGTAGAAATATTGAATACAATAAATAAAGATATCCTATACTTAATGTCTAATAACTTATCTTATGGTGTCGGATTCACGACACGGCAATAACGCCCGCGGATCCCATGCCATGAAACAGAAGCCCTGCTCGTCCCGACATCGACCCCTGCAAAAACCGGCACTTGCCTCCCTGAGCCCTAAAGGACCCACCTTTTTAGGGATCCTTATTAAGATTTGTTTTTTTTATATAAGTCCTTAAAAAGGTAGGTTATTTGGGGATATTGTACAGTATAGTCCCCATTGTAGGTAGTGTTTTCGGTCTAGCCGGTTTCATACTTTTCATTTAGGATCCTAGAATGTAGCCCGACAAAGTGGGTACCATGGAGACTCGAGGTCTAGCAGCCTGAGACATTGCCTAAAGCCCTCCGGTTTAGGGTTTTGGGGTTTAGGGTTCAGGGCCTCTTCCAATCTATTCAATCCCCCATACTATCTTAGTGTTCATACTCATCAGCGTGACTGACAGCCTGGAGGAGCTTCGGGGTGGAGCTACGGGGGGATTTATTGGCCCGGGGGTTGGACGATGAGTGTTTGTGTTTTCGGTTTCGGAGCCCCCTAAACCCTAAACCCTAAACCGTGGCTTGAACTGATCCTTTGCCACGACGTTCTCATGCAAGCTCGTATTGTTGAATGTTGCCCCAGACATTAAAAAAGGCCCGAACCCAACTCCCTTTAGGGACGAAGGCCGAAGTCGCCCCAAGCACCGCCCACAAGGGAACTTTCGGGGCTTTGCTGGTCCTTTCCTTGGTTTCTTCCAATCCGGACCTTGCATCCTGAATCTTAATTCAGGGTCGTTCAACAAGAAACCTAAACCGCTAACCTAATCCTCAAGAGCCATCAGTCCTAGACCGCATGAGCAGCCGAGGTCTTCTGAAGACGGGTTACGTGGGAAATGTTTTGTCCCCCCCACCCGGATTGTAAAGGTGACATACTCTATTTGCACGACCCGGCGAGGGAGCCTCATTAAGTGACCTCCCGAACCCATGTAGGTGGTTGTCAAAATTATGGTCCCTTTTTGGGTCCTTATTATAATACGGCACCTATTATTTAGGGTACCCCAAAAGGGACCAGAATTTTGACAACTACCCATGTAGTTCTGCTTCTACGCAGTTTTTCAACTTCAGCCCAGGTCCTGCTCTACCCGCGCAACACCTTGGCTGGGAGTGTCTTCCAAGTCGTCCTTTGCTACGGATGCCCCCTCGCCTGTGATATTCTGTGATCGCTGTAGGGTTCCATCTTGGGGGAGGGGGGGCGAGGTAGCGGATAGATTTAGAACAGCTGGTCGCGCAACCCCACTTAAACCCGAAACTCCTAAACCCTAAACCCTAAACCCTAAACGATCGAGAACAGAAGCTCTGCATTCTGCACCTAAAGACCGAGGAATGGCGCCGCAATCCTCGACCCAAACACCATTCCAAACTCTTTAACCCTAAGAGTCCAAGTGCCCATTATTTAAGGACTTTGGGGCCTTTTTGGGTACCTAAAGCCATAAATAAGGACTGCTTGGACCCTTAGGGTAATCCTAAATGCCGTAGAGCTAAGGCTAAGGCGCCGCTAGGCTTCGAAAGAAAAGGCTCGTGGCCAACCATAGACCCTCGAGTGTGAGCGCCGAAACATATTGAATTATCATCCCTGATCTGCCCATTCAAAAGAGGTTGAATCCTACAAAACCTGTAATAGTCAGGTTGATGATAACCTTTTCCAGGTTTTCCTCAGTGCAGCCAGTATTTATCAAATATTATGTCTTAAGAACACCTGGATCGAAGCTTTTTGAAGAAGCAGGCTTGGCGATCCTACCATAAACCGCCATGAAAACCCATAGAATTCAACAAGCGAACAGCCCTAAACCCTAAACCCTAAACCCTAAAACCTAACCCTAAACCCAGCATCAGGCTTGGGGCTCCTTCCCTTGGTTTTCAACGCCACCTTCCTGGCGATCGCCGCGCTGCTCATTTGGAGCTACGTGGCAGCGCGGTGCCTGGGCTCGCCTTGCACGTTTTCTTTTCCAAGGCTTTCAGAAAACCCTTGGGTTTGTTTTAATTAACCACCTTGTACCCTCAAAGAGGGGTATAGGGTCCAAAATGAGCATTTATGCTAAAGGGTAGATGGAGGGTTTAGGGGTTTTCAGAAGGGCTTTGTGACTTTGTGAAGACAATTTATTGGGTTGTATAGTGTGAGATTTTGTAGCGGTTTGGTGATCTTTACAAGGTTCAGCGTTCGGGGTTGTAGTAAATAGAGTGTTAGTCGGGCGCTTTACCAGTCAGCCTAGTTCGGGAGATTTTAGTGTGGGCTCCCAGCGTCGCGAGGCTTGTGTTTATTTATTTTGAGTTCCGGGGCTTTAGAGAGTTTGGACATGGGTCTGCGTAAAAAATCTGGGTAGGCACGAACCTTGGCATTAGAAGAGTCCCTACCACACAGGCGTTCAATTCATCGTCCTCGTTTCATGTAACCCTAAGGTGAACCCTAAACCCGAAGCCCGAAGACGCGCGCGCCTGGCCGTAGCATAGAAGTCACAAAATGGGAGGATCATGATCCTCATACCTCAGAGCCGAGCATGAGGTTCCCAGCACTCATGTCACTATGTATGAATCCCTGGACCCTAAACCCTGAACCCACACCAGTTAGGTGGGTATGCAACTGAGACCCTGTGAACCCTAAACTCTAAACCCTAAACCCTAAACCGTGAGAAACCCTTTCAGCATGTTGCAGTCCCAGGAAAGAGAGCCACAGCAGTGTTTGTGCCGCTTGCATTCAGCTGCGGGAGGGACTTGCATCGGGATAGAGTTTACCTGGGGACCTGCCTGTCGTTTCAGGGGTTATACCCTAAAAATAAGGGGTCATGATTTTCTTGGTGGGGTTTGGAGTTACTTCCGGAGGGTTCAACAGGTCTTGCCGAGTTCTACCATTTAGAATCTTCGGGCGGATGTTTTTCCTTTGCACCCCCCCTCCGCACCCAATGTACGCGCAGACAATCTGTTTGGATCTGTTGAGGTCCGGTTTGATGGGTGTGATGAGTGTGTGTCTGGCTGGACTGTGCCCAACAACAGGGCGGTTGTCCTTGGAGCTGTCCGCCGATATGTGTCTTTGACTTGCTGGGCAGTGGATTTTCTAGGGCAGACATGTTTAACCCTAAACCCGAAAGAGCGGAACTGCAAATGCAAAATGGTATATATGTATATGGCTAATGTTTCAGGCGTGTCTAGTGTTTCCGTTCCTGCTTGTTCAACCAAGCTTTATCGCAAGGAAGCAACTTCTATGATCCATGTGGTGCCCTAAACCCTACCCATAGGCCCCATAGTAGTTCCTTTTTGGGGTTACCCTATAGGATTCTATACTAGGACCCGGAGTAGGCCCTTATTTCTTTGTTTAGGGTTGTGGCTCCCTTATAATCCCTTTGAAACCAAAGAGGGCACCCTTTTCATTCCTAGGTTGCTCCTGGGTCTAGTATATATGGAACCCTAAACCCTAAACCCTAAACCCTAAACCCTAAACCCCCAAAAAGGAACTACTTTAGGGCCTATGAGTAAACCCTAAACGATCCGGCCGGCTCGGGCTCCTTTGGAAGGTATAAGTACCCGCCTGTGGCACTATAGGGTTTAGGGTTTAGGGTTTAGGGTTTAGGGTTTAGGGTTTAGGGGTTTAGGGGTTTAGGGTTTAGGGTATACTGAGCAATCTACGAAGGTCACTGATCCTGCAACTACATGCCGTGCAAAGTTTCCGACACGTTTGCTGAGGATGTTTGGCGGCCAGTGGGGGAAGACAAGATCAAGTCGTTTGTGCAATATCGCCAACTGTACAGTGCTCCCTGGCTTGGGTTTCGGCACGACTCGACTGGTCAACACGTCTTCCATAATTCTATATTCTGGTGATGTACTTTTATTATTGCTGCAGGGCTTTGTTTGCTATTACTTTCTTATAGTAATTATGATTTAACAGCTGGCCAGTTGCTGCTCATGGAAGGTAGGACGTTCCATGTTTGTATGCAGCACAGCAACATTCGATATCAATACCCACATATAATGAGTCCCAATATGCAGTAACATGATCATATGATGTATCCGAAATCCCTAACCTACTTTTTCAGTGTCCTACGTTATCACTTTGGGGCGTTGCTGCGCCAAGTCTTTCACGGGCAGGGGGCAACAGCAGACGAACATCGATTCCCCACACATGCAACGGCATTCAACCGCCAGCTCCTACCTTCAACTACCGGCTGCGAGCTGTGCGTTTAGAGCTTTTAACTCTCCTCCGGGAACCGGGGTTTACACTGCAGGGGTTCATCGAGGTTGGATTGTGTGAGTCATGTACGAGGAATGTTCAGCTTCGTTGCCGAAGAATTTCTTGCCCATGTAAACCGAAGCCTCGCAGCCAATTCAGGAGTGCGCCACACTCTTCTTTGGCGATAACGGACAGGGAGACCTAATGTGTGCAGAGCGTCTCACTGGCATGAACAACACCGAGTGCCCGGAAGATGCTCGTGCCGCACACTCTCAGGGTGTTGTAGGGGCCTGATTAATTAGTATTACTGTGCCGTGTAGGTTCCCTTAGTACAACTATACGATAGTATACCTCGACACCCTATTCTAATTTGAAGACCTCTGAATCAGACCGCCAACGGTAAGTCTTCACTCACAGGCTTCTAAACGTCGGCTGCACTCTCCCGTTGGGTGCCATGAAGTTTCGTTGCTGGAGGTTCGGGGACTTCAGTGGCCACGCCAGACCTCAGTATAGAGGGATCTGAGAAAATAGTAATTCCTTTATATAGTCCTTATGTGATCTTTAGACTGCAGTATCCCCAGTATCCCCCGAAAGCCTATTCCACAAGCTTACTCGAAGGTACTAATGCTTTGCGCATAGGTACTGATGGCTGTGGGTGTAAGTACGTGTGAGTTGAAATGTTAACCTACGAGTTGGGCTGCGCGGGTGATTTGGGTCCCACAGGTGGTGGGTCTTGGTGTTTACCTGTAGTCCAGCTGCTAGCGTATTCAGGGTCCTATGAGGTAACCGGGTAACCCAAAACAGGAACTATAACTACAATGTAGGTTATAGGTAGGCTTCATGAGTAAGGGGAAGTGCTTCGGAGGTTGTACAGCAGGTCACCACGCCAAAAACGTAGAATTTCTGTGAAACTAGGCGGGTTGCTGCTTGAAGCTCTTAATATAGACGCCTAAATAATTACCCATGTTACTCCTTGGTGTTCCTTATTATAACTCTACTATCAAGGAGCCCGAATCTTGGAAAATAGCCCAAACCACTTCATGGTTCGAGGGCCTGCTGGCGGCTAGATTTCGGCTAGATGTTCACGTCTTCAGGGTTTAGGGTTTAGGGGGGGGGGTTTCCGACCTGGGAGTGGCAGTAGCAAGACATGGTGCTGTGTGGAATTCCCCAGCTCGCGGCACTCGAAGACCTGATACACGAGCTTGAATAATTCCGAAAGCTATTCCGCAGGGTCACTTAGTAATTATGTATAATGGTCGTAAAATCGGGACCAAGGTTGTCGGGTATACTAAGTCTAGTCGACAAGCCCATCCCGAATTTAAAGGCCGACATGTTACCGGCCCCCCCACTACCGTGACTGCATTTGTTGCTTGTGTTCCGATGGTCCGATCCAAGGACGCCGGTGTTGGTGGAGCCTCTCAGCTTCATGTGGGGGGTTTAGGGTTTAGGGTTTTAGGGTTTAGGGTTTAGGGGCATATAGCCTTGATGTGGACTGAGGCGGGGCAGGCATGGTTTTCGGGACTCGCTGTATGTGCCACGCTTTCGGAGGGAGAGGTTTAAAGGTGCTTAATTTGTGCCTGGGAGACTTAGAGTGCTCTGCCTCCATGCCGGCAGTGATTCGGGCAATGCGGGGACTTTGTGGCGAAGACAGCGATGACAACGGCGGCTGCTGCTATCCCCGCTGAAACTGCTGCTGGTGCTGCTGCGGCTCTTGCCTATTATTGTTGCTGACTGCTGCTATAACTGCTCATACTCAAAAGCTTCTACAACAGAATTACAACGAAAGCCGAGCTGTTTTTGCTGGAACAAAGTAGCTCCAGAACACCCTAAACCCTAAACCCAAAGCCCTAAACCCCTAAACTCTAAACCCAAAGCCTTCTACACTTCTACACATCATCGAGGTAAAGGCAAAGACATGGCAAGGCAAGGCCGAATCTCGCCTGTGCGAGATGTGTCCAGCCACAAAAGAAGCAGAAGTGGAGTCCGAAACTTTAGGGTTTATAGGGTTTATAGGGTTTATAGGGTTTAGGGTTTAGGGGTTTAGGGGTTAGGGGATTAGGGTCTAGGGATTTGGGTTTACGGGTTTAGGGTTTAGGGGTTTAGGGTCTTGGGGTTTAGGGTTGAAGGGTTTAGGGTTTAGGGGTTTAGGTGTTCCAACTAGCTTTTCTTCTGCTATGAAGCCGGCACACAGGACCGAGATTTCGCAATTCGCGAAACCCTACCTTGTATGTGTTCTAAACCCTAAACCCTAAACCCGGTTTAGAGCCTCTGAGGTCGTAACCGCGGCTTTCATCCACCAGGCGCTTTTGGCATTGAGGGCTAAGGGCAGATGGCTTTGGCTTCATGTCAGGTGCTTGGGGGTTTTACGGTTTTTGTGAGAGGATCCTGGGTTCGAAGGCAGGAGCCTTGATAGCAGGTCCCAAATCCGAGTCGGTGTTGGCTGTACCTTCACCCGCCCCTAAACCCTAAACCCTAAACCGTCCACTTTCTGGTGGGTTTACCGTAGGGTTTAGGGATGATTGTTCAGGGCCTAAGGCTCGGATCCTCGTACACCAATGCAGACGGATGAAAGGCTTCCAGAAAACCCGGCAATGTCGACAAGAGTCCCACGACCCGGAACGTCCAACTATTTGTTCGAGAGTTTGGGGGTTGCATGACTAGGAGTGGTGCGAAAGTTGTAAAGGCGCACGCACGTCAGTTAGCAAACGACCTCATGACGACTGTCCGATGGTTATGAAACCCCTAAGAGCGCTACACGCACTCTCAACAGCGTTTAGGGTTAGCAAGGCTCTCTCGGGAAGTTTGGTTGGTTGCGGATTTGCAGAAACCCTAAACCCTAAACCCTAAACCCTAAACCCTAAACCCAAACCCTAAACCCTAAACCCGGAACGACTGGTCGACAGCCATAGGTCGCCAATGAGCAAGACCAGCTGTCTGAGCTTTTCGAACAGCTGGACGAGACATCGAACCTGGAACAGGCCGGAAAGGTGTTCAGGGCGGAGGGCTTCGGTTTAAAGATGTAAGACTTCATTTTTTCTCCCGGCTTCATCGGTCGACGCTTGTTGCAGGTATTTCCTTCATTTGAGTCCGACAGTGTACACATCACTCATCATCAAGCCAACTCTGAGAATGCGGGCTTCGTGAGAGGGTCCCTGAAGGTTAGGGTCTACCTTAACCCCAAGATACCTACCTTGTTTAGACCTTCCTGTTTTTTTGCTCCTTATTAGGATTTCCTTATAACCCTAAACCCTAAACCCTAAACCCTGAAGAGGGTGAGTTATTTGGGGCTAAGGTAGGGTTGTCCTAACCGAACAGACGAAAGCAAAGCAAAAGACTGAGCTCCAGTTTCTGGCGAGCCTGTGCTCAGTCCTCCAAGAGCACACCCACGGCGATCATCATCCCTAAACCCTATAAACCCCAAACCCTAAACCCCATCATTATTGCCTGGCTTGTCCGAGTTGTGAGAGTGTAAACCCCATCATTATCATCATCATCATGCATCTTTTACTCTTATGCACAGAAACTTTAGAGTTCGGGCTTATTTCGAGTTGTCGCATAAGCCTTATAGATGCCGAGCATAGATGTTGGTGCGGTACTTCAGACATGCAAGGCCGCACGCATCTGAGGCTTGGGGCCTGTAGGCTTTCGATTGTGAGGGTTGGCTTGGGCTGACTTGTAATATAGGGGCCTTAATGATTACCTATATTATTTTGGGGGTGGTTCCTTCTTATAATTGTAGTATAATATTTCTACCCTTTCGAAGCTGTGTGGGCAGCCTACCACCTGTACCATTAGCATCCATGAGCCATGAGCCCCAAAAACCCTACGCCCGAAAGCTGGCCGCAAGAGTCCGATGATTTTCGAAGCTCCGAAGGACCAGAGATTGTAGCACGCCGTTACATATGAACCTCGCCGAAGCTCTTTGTTACACTTATCCGTTGTTTTGGTTGCTCCTGTCGCTGTTATTGTTTTTTGCTGCTGTTCTTTCTTGAAGTTGCTCTTCGTGCCATTGACGTGTTTGTTGCAATTGCCGTGTCGTTCAATTGTACAGCTACAAGGATTCCTCTTCCGGGCTTGCACAGTGGGGTTCTCTAGGAGCCCAGCGTGAACGATCCTCAAGCACAATGCTGCAGGAATATGAGAAGCGAGGAATCTACTTTTTCCGCCACTTGGGCAGCAAACCGTAAGATGTAACCCTAAACCCTCCTAAACCCTAAACTCTAAACCGAGTAGCCCAAGAGTGCCATCCGCACGACAAGCACGTCACCCAATGCTGCAACCGCCAGGTCCCCAAACTCCAAAACCCTAAAGCCACCTGAAGCCCTTAACGTACGCCTAAACCAAAACACAGAACCCCAAGCCCTAAACCGAAGCCTTATAGTGTACTCTAAACCCGCCATGACCGTTGCATACCCTAAACATCCACCCCAGAGCTAAAGTGCAAGGGCTCCAATGCTGTAAACCCTCAAAGGGCTCGTCACGTCGACTTCACGAAGAGTCTTGAAAGCCGCAAAATGCCTGCCACAAAACTTGGAGTTTGCGGATAGCAACAGACACAAACTCCTGATAAAAGCCCATCGAATCTGGAACGGTCAGGGTCGTGGGAAACCCCTAGAAGCCCGAAAAGCAGACCAGCACCGATGCTTTCCGCGATTTGTTGATACGCAGCTCCTTATAGACCAAAAGAGCCTTCGAGAACCCTTGTGGAGCTCTTATAGAGCCATCTGATGTGGCCATTAGAGGAGCCCATTTCCTTGAGAAGGAGCCCAAAAGCCGTACCAAGGTACCTATGTCGGCGCGGCCATCCATGCATTTAATCTGGGTCTGGTCTCCGAAGAGGCAGGTTTAGGGTTTAGGGTTTAGGTTTTACGGCCTAGGGTTCAGGGTTCGGGGTTTCGGGTCGGCGTCTCGGTTCCCGGTATATGCATAGACCAGGTGTAAAAGGGTTCGGGGTCTAGGGTTAAGGGTCTAAGGCTGAGGGCGTTACACCAACTAGAATGGGGTTCCTTCGATTTGACCGGCGGGGGCTACAAGGATGTCTAGTTAAGGCTTATACACCTAGTATAAGAGCCGAACATAGGCGGGTCAAAAACTGAACAGCATTTTTGGGGCCGCATCAATGCGACCCAAGGAAAAATATGGTTTTCACATACATTCCCCTTTCAGCGCTTAAGGGTATTACGGCCTTTGTACTAGGACTTGGGCTATCAAAGGGTTCAGTTCAGCATACCAGAAGTAGGCAACCTAAGGGCTTAGCAAGAGTACTAATTACCAATGGAGTCGTAGGAGCAGAAGGAAAACACCACCCCAACACCCTCAAATGACGATGTATAGGTTCAGCACCCTGAACCCTAAACCCTAAACCCTTAACCCCATGGTGCCGAAGCTGGTATTGGAAAGCGACAACAATTTCTCACCCTGGGCACCTCCTGTAGTCGAGCAAAGCAGCTCCCGGCCCACAGGGACTCTATCGCGTTGGCACCGAAGCAGTACAGGAGACTTGCTGCCTTTTCGCCGGCCTGCGCTTCGTGGTTGAGGGTTCAGATTCTTAAACGGCTTAGCGATACTATTCTAAAGGGGCTCTTGATTAGGATTTTTAGTAAGTAGAATCCCCAAGACCCTATTCCAAGCCTCAGCGCCCAAAACTTACAGTATAGGTAATCCTAACATATCACAAGCTCTACTGTAGAGCAGAAGGCAAAACAGGCTGCAATATCATCATCCCCATGTCCTCAAGGTAGAAATTTGGAAGCCAGTGGAGCAGAGCCGTGCTACAAGGCGATTCAGCAAACAGAGCCGGGATTCTCCCGCTTTTTGGAGGTCCGCCTTAAGCAGGGTATCGTAACGGGCGTACATCCGTGTTTGCGCAAAGAGCCCTTCCATGAACCTAGCCATACAGCTCCCAAATCCCGCAGCTGTGAGCCCCTGTAAACAAACCCTTCACCAACCAGTAATTACTGTATAGCATTTCCTGTTGTACAAGCCTTCTACAGGTCGCGTAGACCCTAAACCCTAAACCTAGAATTATGATCAACAGAACCCTTGCAGGACTCCCTGCACCCCAAGTATGCACCCCCCTTTAGCCAGAAATGTTCGCGAGCCTGGAGTCCTCCTCCCAAACAGCCTTACAGTGTTTTACAAATCCTTAGCCCTATAAATCCTAAACCCGAAACTGATAACCCCGTAAATCCTCAGCCCTAAACCGATAACCCTGTAAATCCTGACCCCTTAACCCGCAACCCTAAGCCCTAAACCCTGAACACAGTAAGCCTTACCAGGACATGGTACGCTTGCGTATCCGATACTTGGGTAGGGCAGAGCGGCGACCGTGGAAAGGCTGGGGTGTAGGGTTTGCGGGGTTCAGGGTTTAGGAAGTTTAGGATTTAGGATTTAGCGGTTAAGGGTTTAGGGTCCAGAACTTTTGCTTTTGAACGTGCTTTCGGCGTTAAGGTTTACGATCTCGTGGGGTCGGGCTTCGATTTTTTTAAAGGGTGGGAGTACCTAAGGATCCTAACTGGTCGAACTCGCCCCATGGTTGAGGGTTTAGTCGAGCGGTCGAGGATGCCGACACGTAGTGAGGGCTTTTTCTTTGTGAAGCCTGCTGACTTTGCCCGGNNTCTGGGGTAGCCGTGTGGCACGAGTCCACGGCACAGTCGGCGCCTCGGTTCCTGGCATATGCGTAGTCCAGGTGTAAAAGAGCCCCCCCGGAGATTCCACCTTGTTCGATCTTCCAGCTACGAGCATCTGCTGTCAAATCCCCAAACCCTAAAATTAGGGTTTGCCGCCAAGTAGCTTAAAAGATTTCCTGTCTTAGTTTATCGGGAATCGGGTTTCTTGGTTCAGTATGGGGTTTAGGGTAGTAGTTAATGGGGCTTCCAAATGTCTGGGCTGGGCCCTAGTGTCCAAGGCGTAGAAATTGGGGCAGTTCGGCTTCTGTCGAGTATTCAGCTTGATCGAGGGATGTAACTTCGAAAGATGCTGGTCTTTTCAAAACCAAAGCATGTGTTTGAATAAGTTTACAATCAGAATATGTATCGGCTTAATTGGCTCAGAGTGCAGAAGTATTGCTAGGAGACGCCATTGGTCCCCAGCACATGCAGTAGCAGGCTGTATGTCTTGGGTTCTGATGAGGGTCGCGGTTAAGCGCTTCAAGTTCTGAGTTAGGTATGCTCTCCTCTCGCTGAAGGATCTAAACCCGAATGCCCTCAAGTGTGCACGCACTGAATCCGTCGCAAATGGAAAAACCAGCCCATTGTTGCCAACCCGTCCGCAGATGTGGTAAACGAGATGAACACGGATGTGGATCGCTTTGCCCTCAGCTCACTCGGTGAGGGTGGAGAGTGTGCAACATGAGGGGTCTAAGCTTATCATTAGGGCCCCATATTCCTCACGTCAAGACTGTACCTCGAATCTGAATTCCTGGCCATACGGTGTAGCATAGCCCGTAATATTGCGCTCGTTGGCTACATAGCTGGGTCCTTGTTGGATGCAAGTTTACATTTTTTGTTGTTCTAGAACCCAATCAGGACTAAACAATACTCAATACATGATCATTTGTAATATAGCTCCAACAGGGAACCAGATAGAGTGATCTGTTAGGACGGTGGTGAGAGTTTGGGGTTCGTTGGGCATCGGCTTGTGTGGCTTGCCACCACCGCTAGCCTCCTATGCTCCAGGAACTCGTGAACAGGTCCCCAGAATAGAGACCCAAACCGCCCAGAATCCGTGATGTCCAAAACTGGACTGAAGCCCCATAGTAGCTCCTTTTGGGGGTTCATGTTTAGAATCCTATAAGGTAATCCCAAAAAGGAACTACTATGGGGCCCATGGGTTCCAAAACTGGACTGAAGCCCTGTGCGGGAGGCATAAATCCCCTAAAGCCACCGCATCCGCCAACGAGGTGCGAACTCCCTTCTACCACCTCGTCTCCAAATCGACCTTGGCCTGCAAGTCATGTAGTGCTCAGCGTCCAGGGCTTTAGGGTATGGGTTTAGGGTTTAGGGTTTAGAGTCCAGGGTGGTAGGTTGCAAGGGGAGGTTGAGGATGTTCTGCGCTTGAGGGCTATAATGGGCTTCAAGGCGACGTGGTGTTTTCAAGGTTGGTTCGCGAGTTCATTTGAAACTGTCTGTCTCTGATCCAAACCCAAAGGCCCCCAACCCCGAGGCTTCGAAATCCTGAGCTGAGAACCTTAAACTCCCAAAACCGAATCCCTAAACCCTATGAGCGCTAAACCCTATATGCCCTAAACCCTGTAAGCCCGAAAGCCTGCGAAAGCTTGTCCAAGGAGAAAGTGCCGAGCTCGGCAGCAACGAAGCCCGGCGAAGGGATCGAATCGATGGTCTTGTCGATTGGGGGGGGTAGTTTAGGGTTCTCGGAGGTATATTTTAGGGTTTAAGGTTTCGGAGTTTAGGGTTTAGGAGGTAGGGTTCAGGTTTTGGGAGGTAACGTTTTTCAACGCGGTTTTTGTTTAGTGGCTTAGTTGACTAGGCTTCCGACTTCCTGGGTTCCAGGTCCCTATATGAAACCGGTATCTCCAGCGGGGGTCTTGCGGCCCTAGCTAGAGGCCCATTCTACCTACATCAGACTTCGTGTGCAGCTGGAGGTCTGGGATGGAGTAGTTGTCGTTTTGCTCTGATAGACCCTGCATCGTAGGTTCGTCCTAGCCAGGCGGGAGGCAAACACCATCAGACTTCGCCCGGGTCACCTGAAGCCGGAAACCCTGAGCCCCTAAACGCCGATAGAACCCCAAACCCGAAGGACAAAACTCGTCGACCGTTTTGAAACCCTAAACCCTAAAGGGTTCTAAACCCTGAACCCTAAACCCTACACCCTAACGGTTTAGGGTTTAGGGTTTAGGGTTTAGGGATTTAGAGTTTAAGGTTTAGGGTTTTGGTTAGCCTAACAGGGCCTAACACTATAACCTTTGGCTTACAAACAAAAGCAACATCGGTATGAAACGGAGAGCTGAAGCACAGTTGAATCCGTTGAATCCCATTCTCAGCTACCCGAAGCAGACCTCGCTGTGAGCATAGTTCTCTGCAATGTGAGAGGGAAAAACCCTATAAACCCTAAACCCTACACCCTAACCTACACCCTAAACCCTGAACCCTAAACCCTAAACCCTACACCCTACCCCTATAACCGAAACGCCCAAACAGACCGCCTAGGAACCTCGATCTCGAGAGGGCCAAGGCGGCCCAAGCCGCGAAGGCGGCGCAGGCCCGGGCTGCTGTGCATAAGGCGTAATATAGGGGCCTAAATCAGCGTTTAGGGTTTAGGGTTTAGTAAGGATTACCAACACTATTTTTGGGGTCCCTGATTATATTCATAGTGCAATATACCCCAAAGCCCTATTCCAATTTACTGAGGCCCTTACATGTGGTTTAAGGGTTCCCTAACTTTGAACCGTAAACCCTAAACCCTAAACCCTAAACCCTCAAACCCCTAAACCCCTAAAAACCCTGAACCCCTGATCCCCAAAAGCCGATGTTGATTATTCAGGCCCGTATACTATACCCATATATAGAACCCTTATAGAACCCATTAGATGAACTATAGATCCCATTAGATGAATCTTTATACACATTTTTGAAAGGAGCCCCTAAGCCCTATTCTGATTATTAAGGCCCCTAAAGTACCTGAGGTGGCTGTCGAGCTCAAGATCTTCGCACTTGGCTGTGTCACTCGCTCTATTCGAGGCTGTTTAGGGTAAGTGTATAGGGCTTAGTTTGGGGTTTAGGGTCTGGGGTTCGGGGCTTATGTTCGAATCTAGAAGCTTGAAAACGTGGGTTTATAGGATGCCAAAGGTTTCACAACAGGTTTTGAAACTGGGCCTCCAAATGCAGGAGCAGAGGAATGGCGTCCAGTAGTGTTCGGATGGATCTCGGCTAGTGTTGCTTTTGAGTGCTAATGCTATTGCTATCTGCTCGTCCGCAGTATAACGTGGGCCCACATTGTTGCCGTTGCTGAACTCGCCTCTAATACTGAGAGCCGTAGAAGCCCCCTAAACCCTAAACCCGAAACCCTAAACCCTAAACCCGCAACCCTAAACCCGAAACCCTAAACCCTAAACCCCTATAATCGCCCTTAGAGCCGCCATTATAGTAACGCTTCTATCATGGCTCCTCACAGGTCCGATATTTTCTACGGGCAACCTTTTCGAAGATTTCTCTATTCGTGACGGTTCGAGACCCGCTGTCATGATCGCTGCTATTGTTTAGGGTTTTGGGTTTAGGGTTTGTCTGTTGTTAGAACGATGGAGCATCTGTCTTGCCATGTTAGTTACATGCTTGCCGTTGTGCTAATGTTGTCACTTCCCAGGCTAGCCGGGATTAGATGTACGATTGGTTTCGCATAGATGTTGCAAATTGCAGTGTTCAACGTTGCTCTAGCGTTTTATTTCGTGTGAAATTGGACCTGGGCGCTTCCAGCATGCAAGGATTGATCGAATCGGGTCCCTGATTCTCCCAAGCACCCCCTAAACAACCCTAAACCCGAACCCTAAACCCTTGAACCTGAAATCCTAAACCCTAAACCCTTGAACCCTAACCCCTTGATTCTCCGAAGCACCCAACTGTTCCCCTTAATATAGAAGCCGAAGTAATTACCAATATTATTCCTTAGACCATCATGATAGTGAAGTAATAATAAGGAACCCCCAAAACCCTATTCTAATTATTCAGGCCCCTAAACCCTAGACCCTTACAGTAGCCCTTATGGAACCCTTTAAGGAACCTTTTGAAGGAACCCCAAAACCCTATTCTAATTATTCAGGCCCCTAAACCCTAAATCCTTAAAGTAGCCTTTATGGAACCCTTTAAGGAACCCTTTAAAGGAACGCCAAAACCTTATTCTAACTATTCAGGCCCTTAAACCCTAGACCCTTAAAGTAGCCCTTATGGAACCCTTTAAGGAACCCCTTAAAGGAACCCCCAAAACCCTATTCTAACTATTCAGGCCCCTAAACCCTAGACCCTTAAAGTAGCCCTTATGAAACCCTTTAAGGAACCCCTTAAAGGAACCCCCAAAACCCTATTCTAACTATTCAGGCCCCTAAACCCTAGACCCTTAAAGTAGCCCTTATGGAACCCTTTAAGGAACCCCTTAAAGGAACCCCAAAACCTTATTCTAACTATTCAGGCCCCTAAACCCTAAACCCTTAAAGTAGCCCTCATGGAACCCTTTAAACTACCCTTTAAAGGAACCCCCAAAACCCTATTCTAATTATTCAGGCCCCTAAAGCCTAAACCCTTAAAGTAGCCCTTATGGAACCCTTTAAGGAACCCTTTAAAGGAACCCCCAAAACCCTATTCTAATTATTCAGGCCCCTAAACCCTAAACCCTTAAAGTAGCCCTTATGGAACCCTTTAAACTACCCTTTAAAGGAACCCCCCAAGACCCTATTCTATTTATTTGAAGCACCTTATATTCAATTACCTTTGAGAACCCTAAGGCCTCCCCCAAGCCCTACATCAAACCAGGACCCTCCTTGCACCCTGGGTTTAGGGTTTAGGGGTTTAGGGTTTAGGGGTTACGGGTTAGGGTTTAGGGTTTAGGGTTTAGGGTTTAGGGTTTAGGGTTTAGTTAGGGGTATATGGTCCCACATAAAATTGGTATTTAGGGTCGAATAGACGGTAGATGGAGGGTCTAGGAATGATTACCAATATAATTCCTTATACTTCTACGATTGAAGCCCCAAAACTTCATTCTAAAGCTTACGGCCCCTAAACCCTAAACCCTGCACCCTAAAGCCACACAGGGCTGGCGGAAAAAGGCGCTCAAAAAAAAGAAGAACCCTAACGCCTAAACCCTACATTCGTCCTTGAGCCCTAAACCCTAAAACCCTAAAACCCTAAACCTTGAGCCGAGGCCGGCGAGGGTTTTGCGGGAAGCCGGGAGCATTGGTGGAAAGTGTGGAGCGATTGTCCTGCAGCGTAGAGGTGGGCAGGGGGGGGGGGGGCGGGGTTTAGGGTTTAGGGTTTAGGGTTTAGGGCCGGGAGGCCCTCTTGCATAGTTCTCCAATACCCAACCTTCAAGCTTTTTGGGTTCTTATAATTTTGCAACAATCTGAAATGTTGACTTTTTATTTCCCGGACTTGCTGGGGAGGTAGGCTTCAGGCTTTCGGGTTGAGGGCTTAGGGCCCTCAACCCTAAACCCTAAACCCTGGCTCCGCCTAGACTTCGCCCTAAATCCGAGCCCCCAAAACTTACACCCGAGACCCTAGAGACACTAAAGCTTAAAAGTTTAGTTTAGGGGCCTAAATAATTACCTATATTATTTTTTGGGGGTTCCTTGTTATAAATATAGTATAATGCACCCCACTGCCCTATTCTAGTTATTAAGGCCCCTATATTACATCATCTCAAACAGCAGATTATTTCAGCCCCTCTTTTACCCCCCTTGCTCTTTATTTTGGGGTCTCTTCGTTAAAACCGAAAATAAGAAAAAGGGTACCCCTAATTATTAAGGGGTCACTGGGGAACCTAGAACCTCGGAAGACCCAGGAGTTTTACAGCCAGTTCCCCTTCTTAGAACCTGGACATGCGGATTTCGAGTTGGGTCGCTTGTATCCGTCTCTGATGGCTTCGGTCGGGGCCGGGACGCGACTCTTCCTCAGCATCTGGGCTCTCCGTTTATTTAGGAACAAGCATTTTTGAGGGATATCCCTCCCTCATTGGGCGTCATTATAGGGGGGGGTTATATGGGATATCCCTATCCTATTTTTTTGCTTATGTGCTTTTTGGGGGCCCTATTTATGCTCAGGGGTCGGGGGTTGTAGGGTTGAGGGTCCAGTGCAGCCGGGTGCGCGTTATGCAGATGAGATGTGCACGTAAGAAGGGCCGAACCATGAATGCATGTTCTGAGGCAACTGGGGCGTTGCCAGTGATCCGCACACCTACAATGCGCTGGGCATCAAGTACGTCGTGAACTGCTCCCATGAGCTGCCCTTTGTGGATGAGGTTGTGAATGTTCAGGCCGCTAAACCCCAAACCCTAAACCCTAAACCCACGACCCGAAACCCTGAACCTTAAACCCAGTTGGACCCTAAACCCTGAATCTGAATCCCCAACCATGAACTCTCCGTGTCTTGGTAGCATGGGGCCTAAATAAGGACCAATACTATTTCGGGGTTCCTTATCATGAATATTTAATAGTTACAGTATACTACCCCAAAACCCTGTTCTATGTATTAAGGCTCCTTTAAGCTAAACCATCTTAACCCCAAACTCCTACTCCCTGCACTCCACCCTCCAAAACTCCATAAAACCCCATAGCGCCTCGTAGAACCCTATAAAGCCCTACACCCAAAACCCTAAATCCTATTTTCAATTCTAAACCTGAACAAACCTAGATAAACCCTCAACCACCCCATATCCACCACCCTGAACCCTAAATTCTCAACCTCAACAAACCTAGATAAATCCCCCGAATCACCAAGCGGGCAATCCCAGACCCCCGGGAGGATCCAAAAAGTAGATTTCTTAGGTTGGTTCCTATAAAGGGTCCCAAATTAGGGGATCTACTTTTTTGATCCTTCCGGCTAAACCCTAAACCCTAAACCTGCAATCAGGGTCTTGGGACAGTTGACCATCAGCCCCATGCAGTTGAAGGTCTGCAAGGGCCCTTCCTGCAGCTTAGTAGCTGAGGCAGTTCAGGGGATTTAGGGGATTTAGGGTTTAGGGGGTTTAGGGGATTTTGGGGATTTAGGGTTTGGGGTTTAGGGGTTTAGGGTTTAGGATTTGGGGTTTAGGGGTGGGATGTCGCGGAATGAGTACATGTTACACTTTTCGGGAGTGTAAGATCTTTTGCAGAAGTCAAAGTTTACAGTGTAACGGGGGGGACTTATGAACTCAGAAACCCTAAACCCTAAACCCAAAACTAAGGCAGCAGCCCATTCACGCCCAGTTGCGGGTGAAGCTCGCAGGATCCGGCGTTTGAAGCAGAGGTGTTGGTGCCCTTTTCGGGTTTAGGGTTTAGGGTTTAGGGTTTAGGGGATAAATTAAGCAACTCCGTAAGCCAGGTGCCTTTAGAACTAGACTACTTCGTAATCCAAGGTCCTTTATAACTAGAATAGGGCTTTGGGGTACAGCACACTAAGCGGGCTTTGGGGTATAGAACACTAAGTCTAGGGTTTGCAGGGTTTTCGGTTTAGGATTTTCTGGGGCCTAAGGGTTCAATCCTTTTGGGTCTCAGATTTCTTGAAAGGTGTAGGCAAGGG